AACAAACAAGTGAATTGAAATTAGATGAATCATGTGAATTACTTGACACATACTTTATAATCGCCTTAGGTATGAATATTTCAGAATGAAATCTTTTTCGTTAGATCGTTACTCTATAGCTTATTAGACAAGCTATTAACACTTCTGGTATCAGTATAACCTTTTTACCTTCAGCCCGAATTTTTTATTTATAATTTAACTGTATATTCACATCAGAAGCCATATGATCATTGGAATGCCTCCTAACCATATTCCATTTACAGCCTGAACTATCCAGAAAACAATTAGTCCAGTAACGAGCTCTACCAACAGAACTTTATTACTGGCTGTAAGTTTTAATATCAGCAACGATTACGTATATTAGCAACATCAATGACACGGAGTTAAGCTACTGAAATTCGTAATACATCTACAAAGGTTTCAGATACCATTGACAACGTAAACAATACTAAGTAATGTTCTGAACGTTTATTCCATATAACAACTATTCTAATCATTCACCGACTGAATGATATAGCTTCGAACCAACCATTTCCCAGCCTCTTGAATTTAGCCGATTTTCAATTTCCTGTTAAATTCCTCCCAGATATGATTCAATTGCCAAGTTGCCAAGCCACTGCTTTCTCATAAAGACACTGTTGTGTTTAATCAGGTAGTAAAACCTTACTTTACAGGCTTTCTTTAATGGGTTCTACAGAATATATTATAACTGGTGAGCCGTAGTGACATCCGTTCTTAACCACACGTTCTATTAAGCTGGACAAACAACCAGTGAGAAGACACTGAATGCCCGGAAAAAATCAACATAGGTCAACACAAGAACATCTGATCTAGACGGTATAGCTCGTTCTTGCAGATTTGGTCACCCTGTATATTTGTTTATTTCTATACCAATAGAATATTGCCTGGAAATTATTTCTTAACGACTCTCTAAAATGATGCTACTGACTGTTGCAATGAGAGAAGTCAGTAAAGATAATTTTGTAACTTCCACGTAAGATTTCCTAAACTAAATAATTATATCAAGAAATTCTCCTGTAGCAGTGTTTAGGTTACTGCCAATCCCAAGCCGGGTTAAAGGAGCAGGGTTAGGCGTGGGGTCAGCAAATTCATCCTGTAAAAAAACTTTACTCAAAAACGCTGACCAGAAAATATTATTCAAACCATTTAAACTCGATTACGGTGTTCCAAGGGCATTCAATGGGAAGAGTTAGGACTCCTCGTGAGGAAAACCAAGACACGGACCGAACAATCAGAAACAAGCGAGCAAGTGAAGAAAATCATCAGAGCCGGTGAGATTAAAAATGTGGAAGTCCTAGCAATGATAACACAAATCTCTGTTTCGGATAACAGGCATAAGTAAGTCTAACCTAGAGAACAAAAACACTGCTTCTTCTGAGGCGGACTTAGTTAGAATAAGAAATCGAAAGCAAATCTGCTAGAGTCGGCAAAGCTCGGATCATTTGAAAGAGAAACTAGTTGTTTTTCTAGGCAGATTCACAGCAGTTGTTTACTGATAGAACAGTACAATTACTTTCAGACTGCCGCATCATAATTCAGGTCTTCTTTTGATATTTCATTGTGGTTTTAAAAATAAAGAAACCTTTTTTTCACACTACTTTCATAACAAGCTAACGCTGCCGATGAGTTTTGATTAGGGTCTATCCATTATTCCAGCCTACTCAAAGTTAACATTTTTTCAGGTGGATAATATTGAACAATGGTAAAGATAAAAGACGAGTGTCAGCCAGTAGATTGCCTAAATTGCCGGACTACACTCGGTTAACCTTAAAACTAGGGAAGAAAAGAATTTAAATTTGTATAACGGAAGTCCTGGACGAGATTTTTCAGCTTTGTACCAAAACTATCTAGGCACAGTCTAATTCGGAGATACTATTGTGTAGTTACAGCCTAGCTGAGTTGGCTCTGGCCACTGGTGTGATCTTGTTTGTTGCTTCCATGCGAACGATCTTCAAAAGCTATGAATTTTGAGGTGTCACCTCTTAATCTTTCCCTATAAAGGAAGAATAGTACTAAGTATCATTAAGGGTAGATTACTGTCAAAAAGGTGTGTGGTGGCGTATGGATCCACAGGATGCACAGTTCTATAGGTGTCCGACAATGGTGCTTACTTCAATGGTTTTTCTAGGCGTACCACTGCTTACGACATGTAGTTACGAGTTAGCTGAATACGCCTGTAAAGCATAAACAATTAACTGTAAAGTATTTACTTACTTCACCTAACTCGAAACCTCGACCTGATGATATTCTTACACCTTTCGTAAAATATAATGGTATGGGCTTGTCATTGTTCTGACTAAAACTATTCAGCCTGTGTATAGATTATGGAACATATCCATCTGTATGCTTCAGCTAGCCCGCAACTAATTCACAAGCAACAAGATAATAATCATACTTTACTCTCAATGGCCATATAAGTTACAAGAAGCAAGCCAACTTACTGGGAAGATCAAATGGCTACAGATAAAGCGGCATATTCCTCAGGAGATAGAATTATTGGATTTAGTTGATGTAGAATCCATTTTGAATGCTTTGTTTTGGGAATATCCCTCCATGTACATATTTTTTATATGTTCCTACTGACTCCTTCTGTGCTACATTTCGGTATTCTGTTTAATCCCATTTTGTGATATTGATATTTGTATTTTGTTGTGGCTTATATTTTTTGTACCTTAATTGGAGTTCCTATGTTTTCTACTGAACTGTATCATGTTGTTTGATTTGATACTTAATTTTGGCTACAGCCATATCGGATTTAATACCCTAGCGGGTATAACGTGAATCCGAACTGGAAGGGTGCAATTTTGGACCTAAACAGAAGTATTTTTTAAGAATTGGAAACACATTGTGTTCATTTGGAGGTAGAATGATGTAATATTGCTCAGGTAATGATCTGTAATTTTAATGATTAACAGAATCGTTTCTTACCCAGATAAATTGCTTTCTTGCTGGATACCCTGGAAAGGCGTGTATCTAAACTCCTAGAATTGCTTTCCCGAATTAAGAGTCCACTCTAAAACTTACACAGCCCGTATGTCAGCAAACCGTGTTGCAATTTTGACGTAGGATTTTGAGTGATTAAGCAATCAAAGATAACGTTTTTCACAACCTTATCCATGACTCGCGAGATCAACGGATTGACCTAGATCCAAATCTCGATTTCCAACAAAATTACTCGGAGACCAAAAGTCTGAGATCCAGTCAGCAAGTATCATAGGCACAGGTGTGTGGTGGCTAGTTGTGGCATCTGCGACTCGCTTTCCATTCATTTGCGACTCGTCATCACAACAAATTTTCCATATTTAAGTTTTCAGAGGAAGAATGAAGAACAACAGACTAAAGACAAGATAGCAACAGATAGTTCAAAGCAAAAGTTATCAGCAAATCCAGATGAAAGCTTAGAGAAAAAAATAAATTGAAGGTAGGCATGAAGTCATACGAAAAACAACAGTTCATGACTGACATAGCAATTTGGATGACTTCCGTGACCCCATGTGTACAATAATGCTATTAACTTCATTGATCTAGCGTAAATAACGCTTTCAGTGTGTAGGAGACTTACCTTACTGCTCATATTCATAATTTTCACAAGCGATTTTTTCGTTAGACTTTCAGATAATCATATAGGGCTCTAAATTACCTAATAAAGGAATGTGATAAGAAATTACACCTTAATCATCGACTTTTGGTAAAGATGGATATTGGAAAACAACATTTTACTCGTTAACACTAGGTCATTCCATGAACATTTATTTAAATGGTTTCATAAACTGTATTATTCATTTTACGTGCTGTGCACACAATAACAAGACCATACGGGATAATTATCTAGTAGGTTCCTCAAGGACCGACTATTAGAAAGCAAGTAATACTGTTTTAGATGCTTAATACTTCTGGCGGCTTTGAATTAATTCATTAAGAATAGACAGCAGTTTGCAATTATTATGCAGCAAACCATGATGAGAAATATATAAACAGTTTGGCATAAATACCAAGGTTCATCTTGTTAATTTCGAGCAAACTGGCCATTGTGTTGAAAGTTCAAGGTCTGAGTCATTTTCATTTGGACCACTTATCCATGTACTCTGAAAAAGCAGACTTAATTTAGTCAAAAAATTTAGAATTTCCAAATTCCGTTTATTAAGTCACTCAAACATATCGTTTTATCATCCAGATATCAAGAGTAATTTTAGATGCCTGATTTTCTGTTTTCGGCACTTATATGAATTACAGCTACAATGTAGTTATTACATTAGTGCAGTATGATCATATCTTAGTGTGATTACCATACTAGTGACAACAGTCTTAAACAGGTTGATTTTCCATTTAAAGTAGGCCGGTACCTGCTTCCACAATCACATTAATCATCACTATGATTGCATGGTATGTTTGCACATTGTGGAAGACTGGGAGAATCACTGAGGTTGTTGCGGAAATGAAAAGACACCGACTGGTGGTGCTTGAAATTAGGAAAAAGCGCTGGAGCCAGACAGACAAGACACACAAGACAAGCCCTAAATTGGAATCTTCAAAGCCAAATGATGAGAGAAGGCCCAAAGAACACATTATGCTCAGAACTGGAAGCAGATATGAAAATAAAGAATAGGAATTCCTTAGAACTGTAAAAGAAGGCCTATGAGTACGGTCTGTAATACAAAATAAAGCGAAATATATAGAGACCATTAACATAGCCTGGCATGTTTGCTGGAAATTAGTATTTTGAAAACTTATTTCATCGGAGCACATAAAGGTTACCGAAGCTTAGTAATGAATCATAATAGCTAATTAAAACCACAAACAAACAATTATTTTTATTAACCGAGCTAGTCAGCATAACTCGAAATTCAGTCGACTCTGCTAAAAAGTAGAGTGAGCGTCATTCAACGAGCTCATAAAAATAGGTTAAAACGAATGAAAATCAGTAGAGAAAGATTTTGTGACTATGTGAATTTATAGCACATTGTTCTTCTTTATTCAGTTTAATCAATGTGGCATTTACGTCTAGTATTTGGATTAGTGGGCCTAGCTTTGCTACTAGACTGAAAGTCCTAATAAATAACGTAATTTATTAGCCGTAATGTGACTACAGATTCTAAGTTATCTTACGTCTAGCCATTGCTGGGGACGTTAGATCCCCAGAACTCACTTAAAAAGGCCCTAACTTTGTAATCTTTTACCTTTTCACGCATAAGACGCTTAGTTC